AACTACTTGGAATAGAACCCCAGCTATGGAACCGTTCTGCAACGCTCTGCTCTGGAGTTGGGGGCTGTGTTCCTCTTGATGCTCGTGCTGATTATTTTGATGATTGTGTACTCGTCCAATGAGCCACAGCGTGCTCCGGCTACTCCTCACTCTGACTCTGAATCCAACCCATGTTGGAGGGGCATCAGTCCGGCAGCAGTCGCAAATCATGGCAGCATTTGAGGCGTCAGGGTTATGTCATTGTTCCACTGTTTGATTAGCGTCCGATTAGTGACAGATCATTATTATTATGCATGAATATTATTTACTTACACTCCACTTTGGCTTTGATGTGGCTAATAAAAAGGTGCAACCGTAGACGAATGGAATTCCCATAATTTTACTGGATTTTTTTGTCAAAGAAAAAAAAAGAACAAAGATTTAACTGTCAGATATTTGACAGACCATTATGAAAAATATTATTACTTACATTCAAATAATTTTCAGCTTCAGTTTTCAATTTGTTGACATGTCTGCTGGTAGGTTCTTGGACAGGCACACCTTCCTCAAAATAATAGGAGCGAGCATCCAGAGAACAGCTGCTCGCAATTACCAGAACAGGGCGTCGCGGTACTGCTCCATGGCCAGGACCTTTTCTGCATAGTGCAACAAAGTTTCTTCGCGATGGCCTTGGAGGCACACTTCATCAACTCCGCCAAATCTCCATTGCCCAAGGCAATGTTTCTGCTCAAAATATTTTATTTAATATTCGATCTAAATTTGCACTATTTAATTTTGTTTTTTGATTTTTTTTTGTTGGGTGCTGTTTATGCTTGCAGTCGTACTGCTTGAATGAATAATATTTGGGGAATATTTGGGAGGTGCGTTAAAGCTACAGAAATTTTATTGTGCCGCCTGCTCGGATCGGAGAATTTTATTTTGTTTTTTTTTTGGCAAAAACTATGAAAAATGTGGCATCCAAGTAGGCTATCAGTCAGCATTCAGTATTGTGTTGCAGATTGCGTCAGGCTGTGCTCCGCTTTTGCACTGTTGCCCATTGTTGGCCTACAAGTTCCCTGTGGACTGTAGACAGGCGGGCACAGTGTTTTACACTCTCTGTAATCCAATGTGAGTGGAATGAGTGTCCCTACCTGGCAGCCTGCAGGTCTAAATTGTTGGGGCTGTAGGAGGCTGGAGCGTGGCTGCCAAAAGAAAGCTTGTATTTTATTTTATTGTATTTTTATTTGTATTTTAGTTTCTTGCAACATGCATACATACTAAAATAATTTCAGCACCCGCATGCCCGCCTGATTACTCGATTACTCGATTGCACATTTACTTGTTGCTGTTTCTGTTGTGGGCCTGCCTTGTGGCTGGGTGGTTGGGGCTCTCTCTCTCTCCCTCTCTTTCTTGTTGGCTGTGGCGGTGCTCGATGGTGGTGCTAATGTGGTTGTTGCATGTAACCAACACCTTACAACACCTTCACCACGGTCCAGCGGCAATTGTGGAGGCCCCGCCACTGCCACGTCGTTCGTTTGTTCGTTCGTTCGCTTGTTGGTTGGCTGAAACAAAGAAAGGAAGGAAGGAAGGACACCGTAGCATTTGATACACTTTCTGTCCAGTTATCACACAGATATATATATTCTACCATGTTCAGGGATCCCAAAGTCGGATTATACCCACTGACAAGGGTATGGAAAACCGCAAGCAAAAAAATAAAAAATGATACATGAAAAACCATAACAAAAACGTATTTATTGTCTCGACTGCTCTGCTCCCCGTAATGTGTATCTGTATCTGTGTATCCATGGATCACCCCTGTTTCGCGAGTGCCGCATGCTGCATTTACTATGCAGGGTGATGGGAGGGGGATTGGGGATCGCACTGCAATTAGATATACTTTGTTAGTCTCCAAGTCCCCATCTGGCGGCGGTTCCGCATTTGCCACCTCTCTCTCGCTCTCCCCGGCAGGGACTGCGAGCCGGAGGAGGTCGGAGGAGGCGGTTCACTCGAAGGCAAGGCCATACGATTTTTATGATACAATTGTTTCTGTGGGGAGAATATAGAATTTCCATACTTGAATTAGAATCCGCAAATATTTTTTTATGTCACACAGGAAAAAGTTAGTTGCATAAGGGGGGGGACTCCAACAGATATACATACTCTAGTGTTATAGGCCCTCCCAAAAGCCTCTCCTTATTCTATTTTTTTTCCTTGCGGGGGGTCCGAACTGGGCCGCCCCGCAAGCCCGGGGCCAACAGTTTTCCCCTTTCCTGCAGCCCCCTCTCCCCTTGTTGTGGCCATTAGTTTTCTTTTAGTTGGGGCCCCATAATGACTATTTTTGGGCCGTGTGAGATTGTGATGTGATGTGATTGGATGGATGGATGGGATGCCTGAAAAATGCAGCATTTTGGCTGCTGACGAGGAAAGCGCTGCGGCGCAACGTTGCGTATGATTGATGCCTGATGCTTGCCACATGCCACCTGCCACCACCTGTCGCCTGTGTGCGTGTGCGTGTGTGTGTGTGCACCGATAATTAACCAGGCAGCCTCTGAAAAACTGGGTAAAGATGCGCTTAGACCCCAAAAAAAAAAAAAGTAAAAAAAAAAAAGGAAAAGTTTCTTCTTTCTGGCTGCTGCTGCCACCCACAGCTGTGTGTGGTGGCTCTTGTGGCATGTGGCACTCTGTGGCTGCTGCCTTTCGACATGTTTTCTTTATTTTCCTAGGCATGCGGAAAAACTAGTTTTTGTTTTTTTTTACATACATTTTCGCTTTTCATTTTGGATGCAGCAGACATTGCCCCATTTGAGTTTCCACTCGCCTCCGCCCCCGCTCTCAATCTCAGTCTCTCTCTCTCTGTCTTGATCTCTCCCTTCCTCGCTGTCTTAAGGGCAGGCGTTAATCCATGGGATTGGGGGATAAATTAATGAATGGATAGAGACATAGACCCAACCGCTGGATACCCTATCATCTATAGCCTGGCATGCAGAAGTTCTTGGAGTATCTTTGAGAAAGGATTCTGTGGCTTAGCCTTACTGAAATGCAAGTAAAATTACCTTTAAGCGAAGGAAAGAATTATCTTTCCATAGTTCAGACACTCCTGCAAAGGGTACTCCCCCTTACTGCCAGAATAAAAGTATTTTTGAGAGCAGGTTTTACTCTCAATCGCTGCTCAGAAACTGAAGAATGGTTTGGGTTAAGATTCTTCTCCACTTCGATGGAGGTTTATCCTCTTTCTGGAGACTGCACACTGTAGACTCTTCCTAGACTGCCTGTCGCTATCCACAGGGAAGCCACCCTCTCTACTCTTCACATTTTCATCGCACACTTTTCCACTTTCCGGCGAGCAATTCGTTTTCCTATAAAGTTATTACGCGATGGATGGCTGCAATAGATAAATAGATGGATGGATGAATGGATGGGTGGGTGGGTGGCACCCCCGGAAATACTTCAGTGGCTGTCTGTGTCTGGGTAGTAGTGGGCGTGTCACAGTCACGGATATGGATATATATACGGATACGGATACGAAGCGACAGCGACAGGTGTTTTGAGGTATCCGACACTCTCTGGAAATGTGTGAAAAATCAGGAAAAAAAATCTCAAACAAAATCTCAAAGCACAAGATGAACAGGATCAGGAAGGAGGAGGAGGAAATTAGATTAAATTTATTGATTAATTGATTTGTTTAGCCCCCAAAGATGCCCAATCTGTGTATTCTTTATTTGTATCTCCCTTTGGGGTTTTGGGCTTATTTATGGGACATACTTCAACAGCAAATCGATTCAAATCGCATCGCATTGAGAGTCTAATGTGGACCCACGCGTGGATGGAAGCCGCATAAAGCGTGGGGCAACAGATCAGAGACGGAGACGGCAGATAGATTCGGAGCGGATTCAGAGACGGGGAGGCAGCCCAGACTTGAATTTTTGTATGGCGATCGGGGGGAGGCACAGACAAACAGACAAACGGACAGCTAGACAGACACTCAAACGCAGACGCAGACTCAGACGTGGGGCTGTCTGCTGTGACATGAAGCTGTAAGCTGAAGCTGAAGCTGAAGCATTGACCTGATTTGTGACGACAGCAACGACGACAGCTGGCTGAGACGCCGCACCGGCGCTGTCGGGGATTTGTGGAGGCAGCAGGCAGCAGGAAAATTCACTAAAAAAAAACTGTGGAATTAATAAATGCTACACCAGAGCGCTCAACGGATCCACCTTTAACGATTTAAAGAAATATGTTCCCATAAGCGAAAGGATACAGCGATAACTTCTGGATGTTTAACAATTAAATCCCCAAAGGATATTAATCTGGAGTTTCATTTTCGAGTAATGGCAAATAATATTATTTTATTAGCTGTAGAAAATGTTCCCCTAGGCGAAAGGATGCACCAAAAGAATTCCCAAAGAGCTGCCAAAAGGAAAGTAAACTAGAGAATTGCTCAATCAGCCATTGAAAGCGATTTCCACGAAGCCGCAAAGAGTTGGTGAATGGTCTGGGAATGTGGCAACATGCGGCAGAGGGGCAAGCGAGCAGGCAGGCAGGCAGGCCGGCAGGCTGCAGCAATGAAAGTAAATTAATAAGCCAGCATTAATGTGGGGCTTGTGTTTGATAACGTTTTAAGTGCCTTCGCATAGAAGAGTCGTTGAGTCAGGGGGAATTATGTGGATTATGTGGCTTATGGGGCAGGCAGTTATATGTGTGTGTGTGGCATGGCAATCCAATTGTAATGCACAATTTGCATAACACACACAAAGAGAGAGAGACAGAAGGAGAGCGGCACAGCTGGCTGTTACTGTTGCTGTGGCTGTGGCTCCTCTCCCACGTGAATATTTCTGTGGCAGTTGCAACATTTTGTGCATATGGAGGGAGATCTCTCTGAGCCGAATGTGTGGGGCAGACAGTTATGACAGCTGCAACAGTCGTACATGTGAATGGATTTTTGTTTTGTTTCTGGGATTGTACACCCCCGCCGAGAACGTATAATAATACCCTTTCTTTCCCTCTGCTTTGCTTTGCAGACGCTACAGTCGTGTCCCTCGGTTGTGTGCATCAATGAGCCGGACACGCACAGTGCCAACAGTACGGAGGTATTGCAGCAGACCACGCCGGAGAGTACGCTAGAGAAGAAGCAGCTCCAAGGAGCAGCAGCAGCAGCAGGCCTAAGTGGCAACTGCATTACAATCAATGCGGCAGCAACAGCTGTTGGCGGCGCCACCTCTGCGGGAGTGACAAAGATAACGATAACAGGCGACAGCAGCAGCAGCAACAGCACCAAGAGAGACTCATATGAGAGTCATCCGGGCAGCAGCATTCTTAAGACGAACAATCACAACAGCAGTTTGGTGTCCATCACGAGCCTAAACAGTTGCGACCTCAGCTACGGCCGTGAGAGCCAGAGTCCAGAGGGGGGTAGCACAGCCACACTGCCCCTGGGTGGAGGCAACAGGCATAGCCATAGCCATAGCCACAGCAGCCACAACAATCCACACGGCAGCAGCGACACCTCATCGGGCAATTTTCAAGAACGTTTCGACTTTGAGCACTGGAAGGGATTACTCAGCGACTACAACTGTTTCCACAGTCTCTATCGGTATTGGAATCAGTGTAGCAGCAGTCAGAGCAGCAGTGGCAGTGGCATTGCCACTAAAAGGCAAACGTGCCACCCATTGGATGCTCAGTCACGCAACGATCATGCGCATGAATCGAACAACAACGAAGCAGGATTGGGCAGCGGTCTGGGCAGTGGTTCATTCTACACGAATAATATACTAGGCTATACCTTTGGATCCCTACCCTTTGGCTTTAAGCAGCAGCACTCAGCAGCACTCACAGCAGCAACAGCAGCAGCAGGACATCGATAGCCAGTGCGGCGGCAGCAGCAGCAGCAGCACTCTAGGATACAACAAAAAGTCATCGTCTTCCTTTTACTGGAACGGACCGGGCAACGAAACGCCACTACAGAAACACTACAGACAGCAGCAGAAACGAAAGATGCCCGGCTTTAGGGGCAGGAGAGCCTGGTGCGGGTGCTTCAAGGTGAGTGCCGCCGCATCCCACATGCCCCCTTAGATAGGGCATGTGCAATCGAATCAAGAACCGAGTCAAAAGTCACGTGCGAAATGCAATACAAATCAAATTGCCAATTGAAATCAGAGTGCGAGACTCTGCTCCACACTCCACTGGGTCGCGCTCTCGCTCACACTCTCTCCGCTGCTGCCTGTCTTTTGTGGGTAAGCCACGAGTCAGCAAATTCAAAGTTGCATAAGAGAGAGAGACACAGCCAAAGCGATAATGTGAATACGAGTAGTGCGCCCCTAACCCAATCGAGAATGTTTCACATGGGAATGGGATTCAGAATTTTAGCAGGCAGCACTTTCCAGCTACACTCGACACCACAGAGACACTCGAGAGCGAGCCCCCACCCCAAAACTAAAACTCAAACAGAACTCAATGATAGATTGACTCTTGTGACTTTTGACTTGAGTGTCACTTTTTCACACTTGCACTTTTCCCACACGCTTGTAAATCTCTTCAAAGTAAATCCAGGGGGAAAACTGTACAAGTCTTGAGTTAAATGCAGCCGCAAGTGACCGATGGGCGCTGCTGCATAACGCTACGATACAGAAAGAATAGAAAAAGATTAGGACACAGACGAAACGCCAGCGATGATAATAATTACTTGAAAACTCTAAAATCTTTGATCCATTTCACTCACACATTTCATTCATTCGAATTCCCAGCGAGCAATGGTCCAATTATCTAATTATCTTATTAGCTAACCCAAGACGATCTTTGCTTTTTGTTTAGTTGAAAAACCTACTCCAGATTCAAGCTGAAAGACCTCCGATCGTGGTGCATTTCCCTTCTGGCAGTTTTTGGCAGTTTTCACATTGTTTGCCTGAAAAGATCGCTCAGATCTATGCAGAGAATTCCAATTAGTTACTCCTGAAGTTCCACTTCATTCCACGAATAATAATTATGCTTCCAATGTTCCGCCGACTATGCCCCCAGAAGATTATCACAAGAGAAAAGGTTCTTGCTCCAAAAAAAATGAATCAAACTTTGCCAGAACAACAAAAGCAGAAGGCCCCCACCCCAACCCCCATCAGCGGCGGCTCATGAGTCACAGAACAAGGGGAAGAGGCGCACAGAGGCAGAAGGTTGCGCTGCTTGTGGCAACAAACGGACTTCGGAGACTTCTAATTGGACATGCACCAATTAAGCGCCTGTGGGGCGGGGGCGGCTCCGCTTGAACGGCTCTAATCAAACTATCCAACAATAAATTGTACAACCAATCTTGACTTATTTTGCAGGACGATGAACCCCCCGAGATCTGTGTGGTGGAGGGCGCCTTCACGCTGCAGACGCTCACGCCCACACAGCCGATGCCGTCGGTGGATGAGCTGGACACCAAGTTCGCGGAACTGGTCGAGGAGCTCGATCTGACGGCGCCCAACAAGGAGGCGATGCTCAGCCTGCCAGCCCAGAAAAAGTGGCAGATCTATTGCTCGCGCAAGCAGCCGCTGGACGCGGGCGATGACCCCGATGGGCCATCGACGTTGGCCGGCCATCAGCCGCCGACGGCCGAGCACTATATCGAGCGGCTGAAGGAGCTGGTGGTGCATGTCTCCCTCTCGCCCGAGGACTCGCCCAGCCATGAGGGGGCCAGCAATCGACTGGATAACCATGCGGCACTCGTGGATGCCCTCAAGACAGCGCTGCGCACCTCCACGCACAGTTTTGTGCTGCGCTTTGTGGAGCTGGACGGTCTGCCGGCGCTGCTTAATCTGCTGCTGCAGCTGGACATACGTGTGGCAAACAGTTCGCTGCACACGAGCCTCATTGGCTGCATCAAGGCGCTGATGAACAACTCGATGGGACGCGCCCATGTGCTGGCCCATCCGACGGCCATCGATACGATTGCCCGCTCCCTGGCGGCGGACAATATACGCACGAAAATCGCCGCCCTGGAGATCCTGGGCGCCGTGTGTCTGGTGCCGGGCGGACATCGCAAGGTGCTGCAGGCGATGCTGCACTTCCAGGAGTTTGCCACAGAGCGCACGCGCTTCCAGAGCATTGTCAACGATCTGGATCGCTCGACCTATGCGTACAGGGACAATGTCAATCTGAAGACGGCCCTCATGTCCTTTGTGAATGCCGTCCTCAACTATGGCCCCGGGCAGGAGAATCTCGAGTTCAGGCTGCATTTGCGCTATGAATTTTTAATGCTCGGCATCCAGCCGGTCATTGACAAGCTGCGAACGCACGAGAACGAGACGCTGGACAGGCATTTGGTGAGTCGCAAAATTAGTCCCAAGCTTCAGTTCCAGTGTTTGCTAATCCGTTTGAGTCGCTCCCTTGCAGGACTTCTTTGAGATGGTGAGAGCCGAGGATGAGAAGGAATTCGCACGTCGCTTCAACGAGGAGCATGTGGACACGAAGAGCGCCGGTTCCATGTTCGAGCTGCTGCGCCGCAAGCTCAGCCATTCGCCAGCGTATCCCCATATGCTGTCGCTGCTGCAGCATATGCTGTTGCTACCCTGTAAGTGTCACAGATCCACAGGATCCCCTATTGCAACTAATCGAATCGAATCGCGAATCTCTGTTCACAGATACGGGACACTGCACGGAGCATTGGCTGCTGATTGATCGCGTGGTGCAGCAGATTGTGCTGCAAGTGGAGCAGCGACCCAGCAGCGACCTCATACCCGATGCCCTGGAGGATCCCAGCAAGCAGCTGAAGCTGGCCAGCGAGTACCCGGTCCACGATCCGGATGTGGCACCCCTGCAGATCGATGTGGGCAAGCTGGTGCGTCTGCTGGTCAAGGAGGAGCAGCTGACGCAAGCACGCAAGCGTGCGGATGAGCTGGAGCGCGAGAACTTTGAGGTGCAGTCGCGTCTGGCCAAAAAGGAGCAGGAGCTCGATTTGCGAATGCAGGAGAAGGAGGACCTGGAGACGGGACTGGCACGCATGCGCGAGCGCCTCGAGAAGGAGTCCGCCCAGCACTCGCAGGCCGTGCAGCGTGCACAGAGTGCCGAAATGAAGGCCGAGGATCTGCAGCATCGGCTGCACAGCGAGCAGCAGGAGCGAGCGCGTCTCGAGCGGCTCGTCACCGAGGGCAGCATACCCGATGACCAAAAGGTTGCCGGTCTGACCGGCTGCAATGGCGCCGTGTCGCCGCCACCACCGCCGCCGCCGATGCTGAATGCCATACCACCACCGCCGGCACCGCCAATGGCGCCAGCAATGCTGCCACCGCCACCGCCGCCATGTCCGGGTGCACCACCACCGCCGCCCAGCATGACGCCAGCGATGAGTGAGTGCCCCAGAGCTGCCCCACAGAGAGAGAACTTCAACTAATCCGTTTGCCTGTTTGCCTGTTGCAGCTCCTGTGGCGCCCAAGGTGGAGCTGCCCAAGAAGAACGTGCCCCAGCCGACGAATCCACTGAAGAGCTTCAACTGGTCCAAGCTGCCGGACGCCAAGCTGCAGGGCACCGTCTGGAGCGAACTGGACGAGAGCAAGCTGTACAACAACATGGAGCTGGAGTCGATAGACAAACTCTTTTCGGCCTACCAAAAGAACGGAGTGCCAGTAAGAGTTCTGCCATTTCTACTTTTGCTGCGGCAGCTCTAATTTAATTTGTGATCTAAAACCCTGTTAGGCACACGATGGCTCCTACGAGGATCTGCGACCCACGGGACAGAAGAACAAGCAAAAGGTGCTCTCAGTGATCGATGGGCGACGTGCCCAAAACTGCACCATTCTGTTGAGCAAACTGAAGATGAGCGATGTGGAGATATCCAAGTAGGAAGAAGCCCCCGAACCCCACCTGACTGACTTCATATCTGACTTATTCTTTGCTTTGATACTTCTGCAGAGCCATCCTCTCCATGGACTGCAATGAGCAGCTGCAGCTGGACATGGTCGAGCAGCTGCTAAAGTTCACGCCCTCCGCCGAGGAGCGTGCACTGCTGGACGAGCACAGCGAGGACATTGAATCGCTGGCACGAGCCGATCGTTTCCTCTACGAGATATCCAAGTGAGTTGCTGGCAGCTGCCAGCCAAGAAACTGCAAATTATTATATCTGCTGTTACGCCCTATTCCTCCCTGCCCACAGGATACCCCACTACGAGCAGCGGCTGAAGAGTCTGCACTACAAGAAGCGCTTCATGCTCACCGTCAACGATCTGACGCCGCGCATCAAGAGCGTAATGGAGGCCTCACGCGAGGTGGCACGCTCGCGACGTCTGCGCAAGCTACTGGAACTGGTGCTGGCTTTGGGTAGGATCTGCTTGTTGCGAGAGTCTCTCTCCATGAATCAAAATTGTAATCTGCTACTTCTTGGGTTTTGCTGCAGGCAACTACATGAATCGTGGGGCACGCGGCAATGCCTCTGGCTTCCGTTTGGCATCGCTGAATCGTCTGGCGGACACCAAATCGAGCGCAGCCAAGGGCACAACGCTGCTCCATTATCTGGTGCAGGTGATCGAGAAGAAGTTCAAGGATCTGCTGAAGCTGGAGGATGACATACCGCATGTGCGCGGCGCCTCCAAGGTGTCCCTGGGCGAGATGGACAAGGACATACAGATGCTGCGCACCGGACTGGCGGATGTGGCCCGTGAGATTGAGTTCCATCGGAGTTCGGGGCCCGCACAGCAGGGCGATCGCTTTCTGCCCGTCATGCGGGAGTTCCATGCCCAGGCATCGGTGCGCTTCGCCGAGCTGGAGGACAAGTTCCAGGACATGAAGACGCGCTTCGATCGGGCCGTTCGGCTGTTCGGCGAGGATGGGTCCGTGCTGCAGCCGGACGAGTTCTTTGGCATCTTTGACTCGTTCCTGGGCGCCTTTGCGGAGGCGCGTCACGACAACGAGAGCTTCCGGCGACGCCAGGAGGAGGAGGAGAAGCGGGCCAAGCAGGAGGCCGAGCTCAAGAAGCGGACCATCGATCGCAAGAACAAGACCGGCCTCATGAGCAGCGTGGCCCGCAATCTCGGCCTGAAGTCCTCATCCCCCTCATCGAATGGTGGCGACTCACCGGCCAAGGGTGGCGCCGGCGGCGACAACAAGGGCGAGTTCGATGACCTCATCTCGGCCCTGCGCACCGGCGATGTCTTTGGCGAGGACATGGCCAAGTTTAAGCGATCGCGCAAGGCGCGTGTACTGAATGGTGGCGCTGGCGCGGCAGGCGCCACCGGCAACACCTCACCGCCCCGGCATGGCAGCCTGCAGCGCGAGGAGAGCGGACGCGAACGGGAGCGGACGGTGCGGCGTCAGTAGTAGAGGATAAGAATCTCGATGCTCTGTAAAGGTTTTTTCTGTTTGTTTCATGTCTGAAATTGAGCGCAAGTATTTTTTTTTTTTTCGTACATCGTAAAGACATTATTTTTTTGTAATTATTTATATACGATACGATTATACACTTATACACCTATAAACCTATATACATATAGCACATAATCTAAACCTAAATCTCGGCTAATGCAAGCGTGAAACCAAATTTTTTTTTTTGTACACAAAAAGATCGCAAAAATCGAAGAGCGTAAAAATGTAATTTAAAGTCTAAAAGAAAAACAGAGAAAAAAAACAAATGTTATGTCGTGGCGTACCTTGGAAATTGTAATTGTAATTGTATCTTTGTATTTGTATTTTTATCTTTTGCATTGCAATTTACACGTGTATACGTATGCCTATACCCCCCTTCCTCACCCTCTCCCTTTCACATTTATATATCGAACGAAAGAAAAGGATCAAACGATTTCTCAGTGCTCCCAATCCATGTCCCATTCTACACGCCGCCACTTGTTTGTTGTGGTGGCCTGCAGTAGCTTTTGTTTGTTTGTTGCATCCCCCAAGTGGCATTCGAAAAAGAGCTTAGGGGTGGGGCTCTAGCTGCCATAAAGTCATGTTCATAATTAGGATTTACATATTGTTTATTGTTTTCATTTCTTGATTATGTTTTATTTTTTTTTAGCACGAGATCCCAGCATCGTACACACATAACAAAAGAAATAAAGAAACAAATATAAATAAATAAATAAGGCTGCCTGCCAACAACAGCAGCAGCAGCAGCAGCACGCAACGTACACCCCTCTAACTATTAACATCAAATTAATATAATAATAATAATAAACAAACAATTATTGTGAATGTAAAATGGCAGCCCACTGCCTGTTTGTTTTCTGATTGATTGTAATGAGGGCGTGAGAGTGAGAGGCATCCGAAATAAAGTGCATTCATAATGTGACGACCATTCCCCATAGGCAGCGTTTATTTATTGGGCACACAAAAGGGATGGAAGCCCTTTCCCAAATGGATTGCTGCTCGGCTGTGTTCAATATTGGCGCTTAGAAGCTCTCTGGTGGGGAGGAATAGTGCTGGAATTGTTCCAAATTACTGCTGGACAAGACCACTCCAAGGTTAGTTTCAGAATAAATATGCAAAGGTGACAGGGGGAGCCTTGGCACAGTGCAGCTGCTGAGCAAGGGATGTCCAATCAATGAAAAATATTCCACAACTCAAAGTAGAAATTCCACAACTCAGAAGCAAACATTTCTACATACGTGTGATCGCTCCAAGATCAATGAAGCAGCCTGAAAGTATTCTGCAAATATTTGTGGGCACCATGGCAGGGGAAAGCTCTGATTCCATATGTAGCTATATATATACTCGTATGTATGTAGCAACAGATTGTTGTTACATTTGAATATCTGTATATAAGTATTCAGAGTGTCAAAATAGAAAACCCACCCTCAACTTCCCCCCCCGTAGTTCGTATACTTAATTTTTCCTACCCCTCATTAAGTTCTCGTTTTTAGTTTGAATGCGTAATTTGATTTTATTGTTTGTTCCTTGCTATTGCTAATCTTTCACAAGTTAGAATCTCATTTTTCTTGGCATTCAAAAATGTTTGCATACAAAAAACCGAAAACAAAACATTTAAACAATTTAACATTCGCTGCGAAAACTAAACTAAGCCCAAAACAAAAACCAATAAAAAACCTAACCTAACCTAACAATTTAGATGTGAGCCCCAAGCAAAAAATCGAAACCTTAGCTACCTATAAACCTAATATCCTATCCGCTATATCTACATGCAGTGACCTATATCATAATTGTATCGCCTTTGCGATTGCCATGCGGCTCATAGTCGACGGGACAGCTGGAGACGGCGGCGGCAGCGTGGGCAGCTTCCTTCGACTTGTTGCGTTTCATCAGTTCGTCCATCTTCTTGGCAGCCTGTCGCTTGCGTCTCTTATCCTTCTTTTCCTTGGCCGCTTTGGCATCAGTCGCATCGAGCACATCCAGCAGCCGTTCGACCACATTCGGATTGGTCAGCAGCGTCTTGTCGTCGGCAGTCCTCAGGTATTCCGGTGTCAGTGGCTGTTTCAGGCGGTTCATCTCAATGGTTTTCGCTATGTCCTCGTCGCTATTCAGGTATGAATGATGATAGAATTCTGGGTCCATGCGACTGTGGAGCATCTCAAAGGGCGACTGGCTGTCCTCCAATGGGCTGGGTGGCATCTCAAACAGTGACTGGTCTTCCATCTTTGGTACGTTGTTGTGCAGCTCAAAAGGTGTCGAGGAGTAGAGCAGATCCTCGCCTTCACTGCGGTATGGTTGATCCATGCGGCTGTGCTGCATGCCAAATGGTGACTTGTTCTCCATCTCTGGGCTGTTGTGCATCCCAAAGGGTTTGCCCCTATTCAGGTATTCAGCATACAAGGGTGGGTCCTCGCGGCTGTGGCGCCGCTCAAAGGGCGATTGATCCGACTCCGACATTGGGCTGTTGTACATCTCGCTGGGTGCCTTGCGCTCCACGAATGGGTCGCTGTGCTTCTCATTGGGTGTCTGCATCTCCAGGGGTTGCAGCAGCGACTGCAACATGTCGAATATCGAGGACTGGCGCTTGTGATGGTGCTTGGAGGAGTGCTTTGAGTGGTCGCCTTGTGGTCCATGCTCGGGCTCCTTGCCGGCCATGTCCTGGGCTGCCGAGTGGTCATAGGGTTTCAGCTGAACGGTCTCAATCGCCATGTTGGGCGACAGCATCTGGAACACCTTTAACTCAAAATTGCTCTCAGGCGCTTCCACTTTGTTGTAGTAAATCGTTGGAGGCGCAGCAGAAGCGTTGGCAGTGGCAGCGGCGGCGGCGGCGGTGTTCCCAGAAGATGCAGATGGGGCTTTAGTTTTCAGATGACCAATGGGGGGGTATTGGGGAGACTTTGGTGGTTGGATCTTCATCACTGGCGACTGCCGGATGGGCTGCTGCTGCGGCGGCTTCGGTGCGTGGCGGCGGCGTTTGTGGTGATGAGCCGAGCGCGGCTTGGGGCCGTCATGCATCAGCGATAGGCGGCGCTTGGCGCGAGCCAAGGCCAATTCGCGCAATGCAGCCGCTGCACGTCCCATCGATGAGCCCAATCGTGGCTCATGGATCAGGGGTTCGAATCTGGCGGTCATTTTGCCTGTAGCTGCAGCTGCAGCTGCTCCATCGGTGGCGCCATTTATGTTGTGCTCAGCCGCCTTGGGGCTTGTCGCCTGTGGCTCGAACACAGCTGGAGTACTGATTGTGGTTGCCATAGCCGTGGTGGTTCCTGCAGTTGGGGCGCTGCTTGCCTCAGTGGCTTGAGTGGAAACGACGATCGACGATCCTGTTGCGGTGGTTGCCACAGTTGTGTCATTGGCCACCGGCACCTGACCCATGCCTGGCTGGTGCATCATCAGCATGGCATCTGCAAGCAAACGCCGCACATTAGTTGCCGTGGCACATAGCCGTGGGCCCTTACACTGTACTTACACCACAATATCATCAACACTTTTAGCTTGGACATTATCAAAGATTCTCGCCTTCGTTATCGCTTAAAGGTAAAGGTAGCTCTGCAAACAAACAAAAAAAAAATAACAAAAACGTAAAAAACGTAAAAAAACAAAATTAAAATAGCAGTAAACAAATTTCCGAAATATGCGACAAAATATTAAAAAAATTAATTTCAAATTTGTAAAATTCTTCGTTGAATATTGCGACTAAACTTTTGAATCTTTTCAAATTTTTTATTTTCCGTATTTTGCCCAAAACTTTTCTCAATTTTTAGATTTGTGCATTTTTTTTTTGTTTTTCCGAACTCACTTTTGTACAAATTTATTCGACTGGGAGCTGTGCTTGGCACAACGTTGGGAACTGGAATGATTCGAACTGCTTCCAGCTCGTGCTCGTATCTGGCATTTGACAGGCAGCTGGAGGAAGCCAATAAACGGTTACTAGGATCCGGAAAAATAAACGAAAGCAGCTACGCAATTTGAGTGGAAATACCAAAACAGAAAAATAACCACAAAAAGCCTTGCTCAGAATTGCAACACAATTGCGCACAACAGCAACCTATCGACTATCGGACCTATCGACTGCCTATTTTGTGCAACCAGCCGACAGACGCAGGCGTGCGAGCCCGTGAATTTTTCAATTATCATTTTTTTTGCGTTTTTCGTTTTGATCTTTGGCAAAATGCTTTTGGAAGAGGAACTGCGTGGAACACTGCTCGGCCTGGCATCGCCCGCTGAGCCGGCACCAGCTCCGGCTGCGCCCATGGCCGCTCCAACTCCAGCTGCGGCTGCTGCTGCCTTACCTGCCGTGGCCACTGCCACTGGCACTGCCACGATGCCAGCCGCTGAGCCACCAGTGGCACCAGTCGAGGAGCCTGTCAATAATGCCCCCAACAATAATGAGATTCAATTGGTGGTCACTTTGGAGGTGCACTCGATCGAGCTTTTGGATTCGTCCGACGACGAGGATTGGCCCTGGGTCCTAGACATGGAGGACAACGACGGCAATATGTACGACTACGGCTACCTATAAGAAGCGCACGCACTCGCAGCAGGCCCCCGCTTCACGGGCCAAGGCTGCTGTCTCCGTGGCCAACAACACGCCAACAACTTGCGCAAACGCAAGTCAACATTCACACAGATACATATATACCAAAGCCATTTGAGAATCTCATACTATAATTAAAATACATTACTTATTGTGCAACAAAAAAAAACACAAACATAACTTGGGAATTCTGTGCAAAATCCAGGGGAGGTGAGCAAAGCATCTATTGGTCTATTGACAATGCCAACGCTTTCCCAACTCTAGTTTCTGCTGCTTTTCTTTTAAGGAGCCGGACCGCGCTTCATTCCAATGATTATGTGCCGGCTATCCAATTATAAGGGCGCATATGGATATAAATTTGACTACAAATTTTTGGCATATGCATGTACATATATGGCATGTGTGTGTTTAATGTGTGTTTTGCATGTGTGTGCAATTTCCATAAAGTTGGCAGCACGGTTTTCAATTTTTTTTTGTTTTTCTTTGAAAAATTTAGAGTTTGCTTTGCCAATTGCCCGAACCGGGACTGCAATTTCACATGGATAGTCCCACATCAATCCCAAACCGATTGTGTTCGCATGTAGCCTTCAATTTGGCGACGGACTCGGCTCTGCCTGGCACTTTTTCTTCCACGTTTCTTGGTCCAAAACAAAGTCGCAAAATTATAGCTGCTAGCGTAGTCTATTTTCTATGAAAACTTTGGCAAACAAATGTAAACCAATTGCCCAAGAGTGATTCTTTTCGACTGCCCGAAAGCATGCTAAATAATAATAATAAATAAATATACAAATATATTACGTATCCGTCGTGCCTTTGCGCAAAGAAACAACCAAATATGTTCAGATTTCTTTCTTTGCCCATCTGGGTACCAGTTTTTTTTATAACTATTTAGCAGACAAAGAAACTAAAAAGATAGAAACAAAAAATGATGCGGGGGGGGGGACTTATGTGTTGTGCACCGCCTGCATACCGGGCTGCACGGACACCTGCCCAGTCTCAGTGCCAGCGGCCCTGATGGCCTCCTCGTTCACGTCCAGCTCATTTACGAGCCACTTGCGGATGGAGAGACGATCCTCTAGATCGACGGCACTGAGACGGCACTCAAACTCCTTGTATTGGAGTTGTGCCGGTGGCGAAGGGCTCAGCCCGAATGCCTGCATCTCCAGCAGAGGCAACTCGGCCAGATTGCCGCCGCGCTGTTCGATCAGGTGGCCCATGAATTTGCGAAAGTCCTTCATCAGTATGTAGCCCAGGTCCTGTGTGTCGATCATCTGGCACAGCAGACGCATCTTATCGGCGCGTCCACTGGGCGCTGGGCCACAGCACTCCAAGCTCTTGGTGTATATGAACTGCGGCACCAGCACTGTGGCGCAGGCGCCCACAAATTGCCCAAATGACAGTGTTGCGGTCCCGCAGCGGCGGGGAAAGAAGCTGTCCACAATCTGTCGCTTCAATGGGTGCTGGACAAGCTGCGGTATGCGCAGCATATCGGTGGGTGTCAGATACCCGCGACTCTGTCGATCCAATGTCCGAAAACGGCTATAGAGCTGCGCCAACTGGGCGCACGAGAGGCCCGTCGCCCGCTGATGCTTCGCCATCTGATCGGGGCTCAGCGCACGGCTGCCAGTCAATCCCATGGCGCTGCTGCTGGTGATCGTAGTAGATCCGTTGATTATCTCTAGAGCTGCTCCAGTTTCACTTTCAGTCCCAGTTCCTTGTGATTGCTATTGTGACGGCAACTTGTTTTTGCCACCTGTTTCTCCGTTTCTCTAGTTCGGTACAACATAAATCTCAGAGGACACTATCTCTGCGGGCTGCTACTGCTTGCCTGGACTTCTCTAGTTTGGGGGGGCGACTCTATTTCTGCCTTGGCGGCCTTGAAAGCTAAAAGAAATTGGTATTAATGGGTAAGCTCTGTGCTCTGTGTCTCTGTCTCTCTGCTGGCATTATTATTTTCCGTGTCATTTTCATTTGTTGACTTTTGCAAAATGCCGCATAAATCAAAAACGGTATGGCGGGGCGCTGTCAGGGCTGCCTGGGATCTGCGAGGTGGTTGGCGGTGAATTGCTTCCGTGGCAATCGTCGCTGTTGACGCACTATATTCTGCCTCCAGAGACAGAGAGAGAATTGGCAATCGGATGGGATGGGATGGGAGAAGCAGACGCCTATAGCCCTCCCAGCCACTGTGCGTGCGCCACTCTGCGCCTGCCGAGTGCGTGGGTCTTTGGCCAGCTGCCAGTTGCCTGGGGGCCTAATTGGCCTGCTTTCGTCGTGAACAATTCGTGTCTGTCCAGCGGCAAGGCCGGAGGGCAAGGCTAACAAGCTAAGCGGGGATGCCGACGTGCAGCCATTAAAATGGGACCTGCTGCAACCTGTCAATGGACAGGCAAAAATTGGAGTAAGCGATTCTGGGGGTCACAGTTCGCCAAGCAGGCAGTTCCGTTCCCACGCGACGGATATTTGGCCTACATGCGAATTACGAATATGGTTTGCATATAGAATCGCGCGATCCGTGGGCTACTAAAAATACATCGGAAAAGTCGTCGTAGTCGTCGTCGTCGATTTGATTGCCAATTCCACTTGCAGGCTGAGTAATGCGCCGAAATGTGAAATGAAAAGCGAACGTTTCTCGGCATCTCGGCCTTTTGCTGTGTGGGAAAATAAAACCGAAATGAAAATATGAAAAATGTGCGGCACATGCCGCCGGCTGTTTGCCACTCACCCCCCAACTGCTCCATTGCTGCCGCTGCCTGCCAGAAAACAGAGAAAGCGAGAGAGAGAGAGAGAGAGGAGCAAACTCGACGAGTGTCAAAAACGCGTCAAGATCAAAGCGAGCGCCAAATGCAACAACAAATTGGCCAACACTAGAAGACAGCAAGCAAAACCATTAGCCATACCCATACCCATACCCATGCCGATTGGATGTGTGGGGGGATCCCTGTACCAAATTCAAGGTTGCTCCTTAGTTGGGATTGGCAGCAAGCTCTCAGTTACGGATCTCCCATTGCTGTTGCTCCGAAGATCTGCCTTAGGGTGTCTCCTTAACCGAATTGGCCATTCTATACTTAACAGGTGGCACCAAATATCCCATTGCGCCATGCTGCAGTGACACTGAAATTGGGTGGAGGGAATCGCAATTTTCCATATATTCAATTGCATTCGTGAGACACCATACATACCACTTTTTCGGGTGCATTTTGGCAAACACAGGTGTGCACAGATCTTCCCATTAAATGTTTTTCCTTTCGCACGAAATGTTTTTTGAATTGTACAACAAATGGCCAGGTTCTGCCATATGCCCACCAATGCCAATGGCGGGATGAGTCAGGATTGGATGGCGATGACTGTGAATCAGGATTGGATGGCAATGTGGGGGCTGGCTGTTGTATTGGAATTGGAATTGCAGATGTGCACCATACCGCATACCGCATAATAAGACAAAATTTAATGCATTTAAATGAACTCGATTAGGGTTGAGACAGACTGAGAGAGTGCAGCCCTTGCCAGCGACATGCGTCATATGGCAAATACAGCCTTGGCATCCCTGGGCAGAGTAAAGTAATTATCGGTGTAAATCGAGTATGCCACATTTTTCTCGAATTTACTAGTGTGTACTCACTGGTCTTATTTTGTGTGTGCAGCATCGACGTCGTTTTTTGGCTCATCTTTGCGCTTGTGCCGACGAATAAGTTTGGTTTATAGTGTTCAATTTTGCAAAATTAAAGTGTTTAATTGTTGTTTTTGGGTGAGTGCACCAGTACTATTTTCCTTTTATCACGAACTTTTAAGGAAACGTTAAAAATCGACTCAAAATTGATGTAAGCTAAGGTCTCACTTTGAGGTTAGAAACACTTGTCCACAGAAGTCTTACTTTTCTTTTGGCGAGTTAAAAATTAATTTTTGTTTGGGTATTGTGGGGGAAATATTAGAAAAAGGATAGCGTTAAGTATACCAAACACAAACTGTGCACAAATTTCTGTCCCAAAAGCTGCGCAAGAAAACAATGAAAATGAAGTAAAATCCACGTGTCCACAGAAGTCTCATATTTTGTAACATTCGAATTGGTTTGCGATCAGCTTAAGGAATGGGAGAAAACGAAGTATCGAAAGAGTAAACGAAAACGAAACGAGCAAGCAAAGGAAGTGCGTGGCGTGTTCTTTTTTTCTGGCGCGGCGCTTCTAGTTCTCTGCGTCTGCGCCGCCTTCTCTGTTTCGGCTGCTGCTTTGCCGCCCCCTTCCACACCATCGCTCATTACTGGGACAAAAAAAAAACAGAAATAGAAACAGAAACAATAATAATATAATAATCAAATCATTTTAAGCGCCTCTCAAGGTTGTTCGGCATCTATGCGTGTGTGTGTGTGTGTGTGTGGCGTTGCCAGAGGGTTCGGAAAAAAAGCCAGCGACACAAATTAAACAATAGCAGGGCATGGCTGGGCGACAGCGGTCGGTGGGGGGAGGGTAGCGCCACACAAAATAAGCAAATGACAGGCAACAAATTGTAGAGCGACGGTTTTTTTTTTTTTTTACATAAATTCTGTATTTTTGTTTTGTGTGTTGCTGTTGTTATTTCTCGTTTTGCTGTTCTTGAATTGCTGTTGCTGCTTTTTGCGTTAGTTTTGATTAATTAATTTCCTGACTAATTCACAATCCGCAATGCCCGACCCGCTAGAGTCCCGTCCCCCTCTCCCCACCCACAAACCGCAGACAAATGAAGATAGAAGCAGAGAGCGTGAGACAGAGGACAGAGTAATTGGAAATTATTGCGTTTTGCTTTTTGGCAAAGTGAAAAATTGAATTAAAACTAAGGGACAGAAGGGAGAAAGGAGAAAACGCAAAAATGAAATGATTGGCGGTACGCCTATGGAGCTGGGGAACTGGAGATAATCCATTGGTGAGTAGTTTTTGTTGTTGTTGTTCTGCAGCTTCTTCGCTTGCGTTTGCTTGCGCTTGTTGTTGTTGTTTCTGCATTTTTTTTTCTACGCGCTTGCTGGCACTTGGCTTTCGTGTTGTTGCTGCTGCCTTTCGTTCTCTTCGCGGGCTTCGGCCATTACTTTTTTTCGGCTGCGCTTCGACATCATATCGGTGGCCATTCGTTTCTCCTTCTACACATGTACGAGCATGTGTGTATGTACGTTTGTCCCGCGAGACAGAGCGAATAAAAGGAACTCTTCGAACTTGCCTGCGCATTGAGAAATATCACAATTCTGTTTTCGTTTGAATTAGCTTTTGTATACCCTTTGAATTTAAACAGATGTTCATATATACATAAGCATTTGCATGTATGTACATAATATGTACATAAATAAATATGGTTACACAAACTGATTTCAATGCCAATTATTTTAAACATGCATACATACATACATACTGTATATATGTATTTATGTAGTCTTATTTCTGGAATAGGAGAACATACACATGTCGGTTTCGCCGAAACTTTTTTACACATGGCTTTGTGTATGCATGTGTGTTTTTACATATGCATGTAAAGCTCCGTTATCTCTGGTTTCAACTCTCTTTCGTCTAGTGATGTGGTCGCCGCAGCTGATTTATTTCATTCCTCCTCCCTTCGCGCTGCTGCTGCTTTTGCTCTGTCTATTCTTTCTTTGGATTTGCGCCCATTCCGTTTTCATTTTCTTGGTTGCAATTTTGCGCCTTGCGGGCTTAGTTTACTTCGTCGTTTACTGTCCAGATCTCCTCTACGGCAGACACTTTTTGGCGCACGAAGAAATGCATTGGTACTGGCACTTGTTCCTCCTCCTAGCATTAGTCAGCAGACAGGGGACACTCATATCCAAAGCTGAATGGGAATACTCATGGCATTCGTTTTCTGCTATTGCTGGCAGCGCTGCCAGACTGATTGGCTGGAGAGTGGAGGAGATATTCAGCGTGCTAAAAATAGTCGGCTTGCGAGCACTTGTAGACCGCTTGGATCGCGAGTGCCTAGGCCAGTATGGTCGCGGGGGTGGGGGGGAATGCTATTGTAAATGCAAATTGAATAGTTGCAAGGGGCGGTAGGGGTAGTGGTGGTGGCGGGGTGTGGCGAGCGGCTCTATAAATATTTGTCCAACTAACTCGACTCTCGCGCTGATCATGAATATTATTGACGACCAACGGCGGGCCATTGTTGAGTCATGCGCAAATAACTTGGCTTATTAGAGATTCAAAGCCACCACCTCTGTGGCACCTTCGCTCTCCTCTGGCACTGGCACTGCCACTGCCACTGCCTCTGCTCCAAGGCGGCACTGGGTAACATAAAACCATCGCATTTCGCCCAACCATTTGTGTGGTGGGGAGAGGAGAGGAGACCATAGCGTTTGGAGTCCGGGCGTTAGCGTCCAACACTGTCCCATTCAAATGCAAATGAGCTTAATCAAAAGCAGAGCTGCCTGCCAGCCAGCCAGCCAGCCATACCGCCCCAGTGTCTGCGCTGAGCTGAGCGGCTTTTTGGCCAACGTCAGCCAGGCCCGAGGGCGTTGCCAGAGATGCGACAAATGCCAAGGCACGCACGACCACCTAATAAGAGAGAAATGGAAACACTCCGAAAGGAATAAAGGGAAGCCCTAAAATAAACCCGAGCTGAGCAGAGGCTTTCGCTCGATCATCTCCCTCACGCACTGCTTTGTCCTTGTCGAACGTTGCTCATACGCTCTCACGACTCCCTCACGCACATCTCTTTGGCTTTGGGGCTTGGCTTGACAACTTGCCAACGCTGCAGGGGGGCCCGGGAGTTGGAGATGTGCCGCTGTGGCGGTGTTAATGAAAAAAGCAAAACGACTTAATCGCAAATCACAAAATATATATATAAACAGTGTACATATACACATACATAGGTACATATGTATGTGATTTGCATATGTATGTATGTATGCTATTATTATTATTATTGGTTATTTCTTCAGCGGATTATCATACACAGTTTCTCTCTCTCTCTCGTTTAGGAAAGGAAACAACAGGAACGGAAAGTTTTGCAGCATATCAATCGTCGTATATCTCTCCATCAAAGTAAAGGGCTCTTCAATGTGCGTATCAGGGACACAAATCATTCATTAGATAGCCACAGATAGATAGGTCCACACAGTCCAGTAGTCCACCAGTCCAGTAGTCGCATAGTCCCTACATATAGAGCATGACTTAATGCCCCTTGCCCGATATCTAATCGGCAAGGCCGAACAGAGCCCTCTATTGTCTCGCTCTCACATTATTTGAGGCGACGGTAATCATGGAAAATATCTGCCAGCCGATTGGCGAGCGATAAGTGGGGGGCCAACAATCCAACCAATCCCAGAAGGGGCTGGCCACTCTTTCCTCGTTTATAATTAGCAATTACAGGGATCCCAAAGCCCCAACCCCCAAACCCAACGATCGATGGCAGTACCTTTCCGTATCCCCCCGTATCGGTGGGGCGCTTATGATTTATTGCCAATTGTTAACGTCTTGAATGCGCACCGATTGCTATTTTGGCCAAATGATTTCATGTACTTACCATAGAGCCCATCGCTATCTGGAGGGTGTCTCCACCCGTACCCATGTAATACAAATAAATGTACATACCCTTCATCGATCCTGTTTTCCAGATCTCCAGATCATTATGGAATGGAACCAGCGCCATACGATGGCCGAGTGTGCCATGGATGCCTTCTGCAATGGCCAGTATTACGAGTCCTTATGTTTCGCGTCCGGACTGGCCCACATTCAGGGAAAAATGAGCCGCCACGAGCGCCAGCTGATGGGCGATATCTTTTTGGGTATCATCAACAGAATCATTCTCGATGTGGACGCACTAAAGGCGCAATTAGCCACTAAGGTCCAGGCCCTATTGCAGCTAATCGAGCCAACTGAGGAGCAAAAAATGGATGTGCAGGCCGACAGTGACGCAATCAAAAACCTGTTGTGGCACCTAACGACCTACGTCCATGAAATGGCGGATATCATACGAAAGGCCCAAAGATCCTATCACGTGGATGATCACGAGCCGAATATATATTTTCTGCGCTTGCTGGGCGAGTGCCTGGGTATCATGGGCCACATGGTGAACACCGATGATGGTCTGGTCAATATAGCGGCCTCCACGGCCTTTGCCTTTGGGGTGGTGTACGGCTTCAATGTGCCGCCCACCGATCCCACCAACCTGGAGAATATCATCTCCTATTGCATATTTTCGGTACGCAATATGCGGAACATCGATGTGGCCATTGAGCTGGCCATTTATGGCCTGACCAGCTGCACAGAGCAGTTGATTCTTCGGTCCAGCAACCCGCAGGCCACCAGGCTCCGTCTCCAGATACTCGAGAGTTGTCTGGAGGTCTGGATTGCCATCAGGGACATAGACCCAGCAGTGGCGGTGCTGGTACGTCAATGGACAGGACTCTCGTTCTATATGATTTGTGATATTTTTTTTTTTTTGTTTTTACTTTTTCAGCCTTTATAAATGCCTAAGCATAAGCCCAGACATCATCCAACATCTTCATTCAGTCGGGAAGCAAAAATTTAAGATGCAAAAGTACAAAGAAAAAACATTCCGCATTTCCACTGCTAAAAGGAAAGCCTCCTACATCCTCGCTCTTCCTACACACACACAAATTTTGATAAACATTTTACAACTGTCTTCGACTGTAAGAATCATTCATGGAACGAAAAACACATCATTCCCTTTTTTTGGGGAGACTGTAAGGCCACAGCAAATGTGGCAAGAACTGAAGCTGAGATTATTTGAGAGTACAAAGAATACATTAATCACATTACTTTAGAATTAAAGATAGGACCTAATGTGTAATCCAAGTGACCCATAACCAAAGGAACAAGTCAGCTCATACCATACATTTTTGGGTAAATTTGTATAACATTTTGTAAGCTCAATGGAACCAAAGGACCACCCTCACTTTCGGGGTAAAACTGACATCTATAAAAGAACAGCAAAGGCTGATATAAATTTATTTACAACAAGTATATATATAATACATATATAAAATGTGTTCCTATATGAGCGAAAAAAAATACCACTACAATTGAAAGAAATCGAGTAGAACTCTGAAACTCTTTTTGTTTTGTTTGTGCGGAAGAACCACTGTCTTCCATGGAAGTACTTGGATAGTCCTAATCTAATATTTTCCTTATAGAATACAAAAAATGTTATAGCTAGTAGTATTAATACACAAACGGTAAATCAGTTCCTAAATGAGAGAGTGAGACACCCCATTCGAAAAGATGGAAAATGAGTAGGAACTCTGAACGCCTTTATTTTGTGGCGAAGAACCCTATTCGTATTAATTGTTAGTTATAAATGGAAATATACTTAACACTTTTTTTTCGCATAGAATATTATAACTATGACATTGAGAGGATTGAACGGAAGAAGAATTAACGAATAAATGGAAAAAAGAAAAAACGTACATATACCCCCGCCCCGTCGTTATCTTTGTATTCATTCACACGACAATCACTCGAGTCACTCACGAGTACATAGGTTGCTTGAGGATATGATTCACGCTGCCATTGAGAACATTCCATCGCTGCTATCAACACAGGGCCCGGGCCCTGCTGTGTCGCCTCTAACCCGACCGTACCAGCGCTTATCAAGAGTGGGGAGAGCGGCCTTCATATAACGGTGGATTGCCGTCTCTTAAAATCAGCTCCCAGCAACCAGCCTGTGCCCCTCCATTAATCGCTCTATGTCTTGGAGGGCAAAAAGCTATTCCAGTACTCCGATCGAAGGCAAATGATGGATCTATTTTTTCTATATATATTTTTGTATACATTTTTAAGTCCAAAATGCTACAATGAAAGCCCAAACTTCCACTCTCTGGCTCGCTATGAGCATTTCCTAGCACAACAGTCCTTCATTAAGAGAACTTCATGGGTGGAAAATGTTGGCTAGGGCTAGGGCTAGGTCGCTGGCTAGCTGACTGGTATGGCAATCGTTTATTTGACGCCATTAACCACATGGCAGTGCCTCAAATCACAAACGCAAATATGTGCCTGTCCGGGCTTTGCAGCCGTTTCACCTTTTTTTTGAGCAAATGATTGGGCAGGACTCTGTTGTGCGCTGTATCCTGTGTCCTGCGTCCTTCGAGTGTTTGAAATAATTGCGTAGCGCACGCCCGCCTGGCGGCGACCACTGAACGGACACGGACCCAGAAACCCTCAGTAGCAGGAAGAGTGAAGGAGAGAGAGAGAGAGAGAGGTCGGCCACCCCACACAATAAATGAGTTTATGTCCTAGTCCTAGTCCTAGTCCACCGCTGGCGTCGTTTGTAGTCGCACATCCGCAGTCCTCCTCCTGCCTGCCACTCTCTCTCCCTCTCTCACTGTGTGTGTGTTGTGTGTGTGTGTATGGTTGGTTATCCTTGGTCCCGTCCGTTGGACGAACGCGTGTTGCTCGGATTCGAGTCGTTCGAGTACATAAAACTGGCGCCACAAGTCTGCACACAAAATGGCGGCCCACTTGGCCCGGGGGGCGCCCACTGCCGCCTGGCAATGTCTCCATTGGCGTGGCGTCGTGTCTCCCCGCTCTCCTCTGCACCCCACCCACCCTCCGGGTGCTGCTTTATTATACAATCGTAATTTCGTATCGTAAAAGCGGGCGTCGAAAAAAATGTGAAAGAAAGTTTTCGTGTTGCGTGCAGGACTCCGGTTCCATGGGTCTGGTTTTGTATTTTCTTTTTTGGTTAGCTTTTTTTATGGGTAGTGGCAGAAGGGAGGCCACAATCGATATGGATATGGTAGATCCCCCGAAAATGGGAGCACAGTTTCGCTTTCAAGGTATGTGTGTGCCTCTCTCGGGTGTGGCTCCTCCTTTTTGACCATGTCCCAGTGTCTCCTCTGCTGTGTGTGCCCCATCAAATTGGAAAAATGGGTCACCAGTTGCCAACTGTCGCTGTCTATTCTGTTGCTCCTCTCCAATGTGTGTGGCTGCTCTTCGCTTGGCAGTCGCTTAAATTCGAATTGAAGTTGCTGGAACGAGTAGCGCCGCCCTTGGTTTGTGGCTCTGTGTTTCGTGCTTTGGTGCTATGTTATTGATCCGCTTTTCCCAGGAAAGACCGACCCCAGCCACCCATACGCGGCGAGCTCCTCGCGTGCCGCTGCTGCTGTCCACAGACAATAATGTTTCCTTGCACATTGCACGAGAGAAAAATCCCCTACCACCCAGTCACCTGGAGCAGGTCAAAGCATCTTCAGCGCCTTTTGGCTATCGCTTCCGTGATTTTTTTTTTTGTTTTGTGTGGTTTCTGTTTAAATGTAGCAGCGATATCAGTCAGCAAATAGTCAGCCGCCAGTCAGACGATTTCCCATGAATCAAACGCAACTATTTGAACATCCGAAACACGCTGGAGGTTTGTACAACTTCATATCACTGTTGCATTCGATTCGCTTCGATTCGTCATCTCCATGGGGGCAGGAAGAGCTTTTTGTAGGATTAGAAACATTTGAACAAGGCAAATCGAATAGAAACGGATTAAAAATGCCTACAGATGGTATAACCCTCGAAAGGGAGGGCCCTTTACTCATGGATTACATGAGTATTCGTGTTCCTGCACCAGGAACTGCAAGCAGAAGCTGCAGGCAGATGCAAGGCAACGATTTTCATAGTAAAAAAGACAGCCAAAGATGGCTCAGAGATTATCTCAAAGATAATCCTCATATCTGATGCATTCCTGGCATATCTACGATATCTTTTACAAGGCACTATCTTTCGTGCAGTTATTTTTACATTGTAAATAGTGGGATACGTCACTCTCGGGTTTTTCCTCTGAAACGAATCTGCCACGGAATATGGCCAAGTTTTAATTTTGTTTTTTTTTTTTGTATGGCTCTTGCGTGCGCCATAAAAAGTCAGTGCGGCATGCAGCAGTCCGTGGATGCACGGAACCCCCAACCCAACCACCCCAAACAATGTGGCACATTGTTGGCAAACTCTTTCAAAGTAGCACCAACAACCAATCGAATTCAATTCAATTCAATGTTGAGAGATCGCCTCTCAATCGAGTGATTTATGCCGAACCGTCATTGAAACTCGTTGGGCATTAAGATGTTATGTTGTTGCCACCAAATCGAATATCCAATATCCAATATCCATATTCACCAAATAATAATCATCAATAACCCGCTGCTTAGTGGCTTGAACTTGGGGACAGGTTAAACATTTGGCCATCGGCCGTGTCATTTAACCCGCAAGCAACAATATGGCAAATAGCATAGCTCACCGGCCCCCCCTCTCCACTGCTCTCTCTCTGCCCACGAACCTGTTAATCTGCGGAACATTGCTTTTCAATTTCTATCAACAGCGAACAGCGAACAAGCGAGCGTTGGTTCGGTTCGTTTCGGTTTGGTTTGGTTTCCGATCGATGGTCGTAGATCGTAGATCGGGGGACTGGACTGGACTGGCATGCGGAAAAACAAGATCCAAAATTCGAATATCGAAATCCACAAACAAGCGACAAAATTAAAGTAAACCCCAAAGGAAAGAAAAGATACTCTAATGCGGATTAAAAGCATGTGGGCTGCGTCATGCGGCAGCGCTCCTCGGTTGCTTCTGCATTCCAGCGCGTTAGCAACTTCGGGGGTTGGTGTCGTCTTGGCCCAGTTGCGAGTGACAAAACAAATCTAACATTATTTCTATCTTTCTTGAAGATTATCAAACTTTATGGTCAGCTACCCGCTGAAAGGGAATGGCTTTGAATGGCCTCTCTAATGTTTAAGCCATGAAAGACAAATCCAGTAGCCAAGTGTAGCCACGATCCAATGGAATGAACTCAGACCCCAGACATAGACCCAACCACCACTGCCACTCTCTGCTCGGCGCTCCTTCTCCCACCCAACTCGGGTGTAAACAACGCTCAAACAAATGAGTGTCCAGAGATGTAAACGAGTGACAGACAATCGACGGCTGCCGTTGCCGATCGCTGGACAATCTTATGGCTGGGTGATCTGTCAAATATTTCGGCAGCTCCACACCCAAGACTCTACCTCTCCACAAACAGTGGGGACTTGTCATTGTCGTCGTAGTCGTCGTGTGTGTTCTGGTGTCTAGGAGGGGGCTTGGCATTGGACACTTACATGATAGATAAATCAAGAGACACAAAGCGAGGGCTGATCGATGACTTGGACACAGAGAGACTGAGTCGAGCGCCTGTTCCTGGCCCTGATCTTACCCAATCGATTAGCTCATCCGTTTAGCATTTCCGGCTGCATTGGGCTCCCGTTGATCAGTGATCCGTACATACTATATTAGATTACGACTCATCAAACGCCACTCCGCCATTCGTATAGTAGATGGATACCCATGGATCGTCCGATCGATCAATATGCAAATTTTTGGTTGAGTTTTATTTTTGCTTTATGCGACACTATTTCAATTTGTTGCTAATAATTGCCCACAAAGTCATTCGCTGTTTATTGCAGTTTTTGCAGTGCCACAGTGCCCGAGGGGGGTGGGGAGGGCAGCGGGGCAATGAGGGGTTGGTGAGTAACAAAGAAAAGCCATTAAATTATTATAGCCGCTGCTTCTAAGGAATGGTCGGTGGAGCAGGAGGAGGTGGGAGGCATCAAAGGCAGCGGTTCGACCCACAAAAAAGCCCCAGGAGCGCCTCTTCTCCTCTCCTCTCCCAGTCACTGTCACTGTATCTGCTCTATCCCAGTGAGGTCTGCTTAGTGTGGTGGGGTGGCTTCACTTTCTCTAAACGTATGAGTGGGGTGTCCCTACATCATGGATGTTTCTTAATTATTTTTTTATTTCTCCCATTTCTCCCTTTTTTGGTTCAAGTTTGAACTGTCTCTTTGGATTCCTATACGCTGCTTTCCCATGGATAACTTTCTTCCTCTCCTTTGCAGAGTATTCGAAGTGCGGCCTTGTACTAATTTGGAGTGGGTGGGCGTGCAGCTGCTGCTGGGTATCAATAAGCCGACCCCGCGACCCAGGCGGCTTTTAAACTGTTGTTCAGTTGATTTTTTTACGGCTTTCGTTAGTTGGTGCAATGATTAATTTTTATTTGCATATAGTACATGGACACACATATGTACATACATACATACATACATATGTATATACTCGTATATATGCAAAAGAGTGCGGCAAAGCAATTGCTATTGAAATTGCTTGTGGCTACCCTGGACAGGGCAGGGTATACCGGTTGCCCACCCTGTCGGAGCTCGGAGCTCTACGTGCAGTGCGCTAGACTCTACTTAGCTGTGTGTCAGAATCGTGGTCGCAGCAGTGCAGGGTATCTGTTGGGTCGACTACCCTGCTACGCTGCTCTTCTCCATTTTTTGTTGTTGCTTTTACATAACACTTTTTTTTGCATTTCATTACAGTAAAATTTTTAGCTATGAATTTTACTGCCTGAAGAATACATGAGGAGGGTGTTGGGGGGAGTGTGTGATTGTGTGGGAGAGGAATAGAAGGAGACACAAAGAGTGTAAGAGAGAGAGAGGGGAGGGGGAAGGCGAGACCATATGGGTGTATGTAAATATGCTTGTCCCACTGCAGCCGGAGACTCTGTAACAGGAGAACAGCAGCCACCGACGGCTGCACTTTTTTCTGTGGCACTCTTTTTTTTTGTTTGTTTTTTTTGTTGTTTTTTTTTTGGCACGCTTTGGCCGTCGCAGCTGCTGCAACAATTTCCATATGCCTGGCCCGCTGGCCGCTGCCTGCCTGCCTGCCACTCTTAATGCTCTTTTCATTCCTTTATAAATTCGCCATTAGATAGATGCCAACAGCGACGCCGACGGCGACATAGAACTTTTCTGCCTGTCCGCCTGCCGCCCGCCTGCTCTGCTTCCACAACCGTGTGGGTTCTACTGTTCCCTATTGTTGTTTTTGCTGGCTGCCGGCTACGACTACGACGCTGCTTCTATTGGGGCCGAGCAACCAATCCGCTGGCGGATGACGTGATCGCCAGCGTATGGGGACAGCGCGTGATGCGAGCCCAATGTCTAAAAATAGCACTTCTCTACACCATTCACTTGATGAAGCGACCCGAGCCACGAATCGGCAAATCGGCAAATCGAGCCGAAGCTAACTGTTAGCTTTCGCTTTTCGTCGCTTCGTGTCTCGTTTGTACACTCGTTCGGTGGTGTCGGTCGCGTGGAAGCGTGAGTGGGACAAACAAACTTTTGCGAAACGAAACGCTGGAATCGGAATTCTCTTTCAGCTTCAGTTACTTACATATGTACTACTGGCTCTCGCTCTCTCCCGCTCTGTCGCTCTCTCATGGCATGGGTGGCATTTGTTATTGTTTTGCGTGCGCTTGTTGCCGGCGTTTCGTTGCTCGCTCGCCTCAGTTTGCCGGTCTCCCTCGAACATCCGCGCCTTGCCTTGCCTTGCCCCTCTCTCTAAAGTTTTAATTTGAAATGTTAATGGTGCAGCGGGGAGGCAGCGGCGACGGCGACACTCCGTGGTTGCGCTTTGTGCGAAGGAAGGCAGAATCAGCGGTGCGTCTGCCTCTGCGTCTACCTCTGCCGCCACCCACCGACCGCTACTACAGTCGCTGATAACACGCAACGTTATCAAAACTGTTGCTGCCCGCTCTTATCAGGCGCTCTCATTGCGGTTTTCCTGCCGCCCAGCGACATTATGTGTCCATGGACTCCCGCCCCTGCCACAGTTCTGGCACACATTTGTTGCACCACTCTGCCAGCCACAGCCGGCTGCGCAAGCCGCTTAAGCTCTCTCTCTCTCTCTCTCTCGCTCTCATCGCATAAAAAACATTTTCAAGGTCATGGCATCGCTGCTGGCGTCGCTGCATTTGAAATGCGTGTGCAGCAGCAGGTCGGTCGTCGTTCCACTGCCAAAGCGTTTCGCCAGAGACCGAGAGAGAGAAATAGAGAGCGCTGAGAAAGGCAACCACAGTGGGCACTGGCGGGTCAGTCACAAGGTCTCCCCAAAAACACTCAACACAGTGATAAGAGCGGGCGCTATTTTCGCAGCCTGATCCCTCCCTCCGCCAGGTTAATCGATCGCCAGTCAGATTACCCTCCCGCCCACGACCAACCCATGCAATTGTGTCGTTTGCAAGAGGCTTCCACTGTACTTCTGTCGTACACAATTTCGGATATCTTCGGCTGCCGTTCCACTTCCATTTCCACCTCCATTCATGAGCCCAGCGTCTTAGCCCAAAGGGGGTGAGCTTCCATGAGACCCCCGCCGGACGACTCTGCTTGATGTTTGCCGCTCGTTTGTTTATGTGTTTGCCCGAGGCCCGTTCCCATGCGTTCCGCAATAAATAGCCAGGCGGCGCGTCGGTGCGACGTCGCAGACAGTGCGACCGACGCTTTTTCAGTGCTTTGCGTGTTTCAGACTCGAACACAGCAGCAGCAGCAGCAGCGCGCCTGTCGTCCCCGCCCCGCCAACTATCCGACAGTGCCGACCCACCCCGTCCCCCCCTCCAGCAGACACACAACCCACCACGAAAGCCAAACGGCGACCGACGACGTTCTTATTAGATTTTATAGCGGCTGCCTGCTGCTGGCTCCGACTGCGACTTAGAACGGGGCAGAGAGCAAAGAGCGGGAGAGCGACACTCTCGGCCGCGCCTTTAGCCGTCTCGTTTCGTTTTCGTTCGTTCGTTTGTTGTTTTCGTTGTTCTCGCGCGCGGCGTTAGAACAGCGCTGTCGCAGCCGCTGTCTCGGTCGCAGCTGGCGCCGCTGCCACCGACTGACTTATTGGCTTTAAGCGAATTCGAACGTTGCTCGAACTTTTATTTCAACGTCAGGTTTCGTCGGGAAAGCAACTCTGAAACTGCCGCCCGAAAAGCGCTGCCCGAAAGCAGATTCCAAAACTTGAAAAAGAGCGAGAGAGTGGCAACTCCTCCTCCCCAAAAGACGCCGTGGCAACCCTCTCCCGCGCGCGTTACCCCCCAACCCCTTCATACAACAACAACAACAACAAAAAAAAACAAAAAACTGAAGATCAAGATCGGGAATACACCTTACCAAAAAAGAAAATATATATTTACACACACACACACACAACAGATGATCGATCGTACAATTATTTTTTTAAAGTGTTGAATCCACAAAGTGTTACAACAACAACAAATAACAACAACTACCACAAAATGCCTTACAAAAGCGTCACGCTTTAGTGTCATAAGAGTAGCAGTGCCACAAGTGAGAATCAAACCCCTACTTCCCTATCTGTCCCCCCACACCCACGCCCCCTGTCAAAAAGTGACCCCATAACAGCGTGCCGCGTGCCCCAAAAGAGAACCGACCGCAAACAGGTGTTTTCCCCGCATACGCTGGAGTATACACAGTGTTGGTAAACGGCCAGCAGTGTTGGCATTAGCAGCATCAACGGGGCAGCAGCAGCAGCCGTCATCATTCATCAACACTATCCAGGGAATCCTGCAGAACAGGTGAGCAATCATCAATGGGTATATCCCGTACGTTATGTACATATATGTATGTGTCCTCTGACAACTACGTGACTTTTCTCACATGTTTGCCGCCGACGACCCACCGCAAAACATTATCGCAAATTGCTCGCGAATAAACAAGGAGGGGGCTATATGGCTCCCCCATCCCCACACCCACTCGCACATTCGCACATTCATTCAGTCGCTAGCGTTGCATTTGCCATCTCGTGATTGTGGTCGGACAGTTGGGGAAAGTCCCCCTAATTCAACGACTGCACTGGGGTGGGTGCAGTGTCCAAAGAGTAGTTTTTCGTGAGCTAATCTGGAACCCCCATGAGTGAATTTCCACCATTGAAGGGAGCATTAGTTGGAAGGATTGAGGATTCATTCATTTATTCCTGAGGAAGTTCTCAAAGGAATGAAATACGATGCCAAAGAATCAATTCCTAAATGCTCAACGAATCCTACAGAGAATTCTTTTTTTCATAGGCGGCTGAAGAAACAGATACATATGTATGTACATATACACATATGTAGATACAGATACATATACAGAAGGAGGCAGCACACGCTCTTTTCTTGGGGCCAAAAAAGGTTAACAGGTGTTTTGACTCTTTTCGCACGCTTCTTTCTACGCTGCTCTGTCTGTCTGCAGTCGCCCCCTTGCTGCACACAGATACAGATACACAGATACAAAAAGAGGGGGAATCGTATCGAATGGAAATGGCAATGGCAAGTATCTAGAACCATTGCAAATTGGATTTATGGTTAATTTCACTTCCACTTTGCCGTTCTTGCAAATGCATTCATTTAATAAATATTTTTATGTTCCACCCCCGAAACCCTTAGCCTGGCGACCCCCCAGCCCTGCCAAGCCCCGACCCCTAACCCCCCCAACGAAAAAAAAACCAACCAACTCCCAACCCCCATTCGTGCTGCTGTCAGAGGCCAAAGGACTTACTTATCCCAAATCGTTGTGGCCCGCGCGCATTGCGCATTTTATCGCAAAGAGAATTTATGCCACGAATTGCGGAAAATGCCACACCCCTCTCTCTCTCTCTCTCTGGCACTCACACACATAAAGGGGGTTTTGGGTGGGAAGGGGAGGCACAACACAGTGTGTGGCATGTACAATGTATGGGCTCTGTGCCGCCGTCGAACGAATCTACGAATCTTTTTGGGTGTGCGAGTGAATGAATGATTCCCATTGTTGGCAGGCCGGCAGGCAGCAGTACGTACCCCTCTCCAAGGGAGGAAGAGTCCAAGACGACGCAGTAGTTACAGTTACTGGGGCTGGGGGTGAAGGGCAAAGGAAAGCTTCAACATGTGTGTGTGTGTGTGTGTGTATGGATTCCATCTATCAAATAAAATAGTCACAAAAATTACACATTTAGTGCGCATGCGAAGGCTGCTTGTCTCGAATCTCTCGAAGGCAAAAACAGTTATATTCGATCATTCATGCATCACAGGCTGTATTCATTCTTTATTCACTGCGAAGATTCATGTGGCTGTCAAAAAGTCATCTGACGCTTCTGTTCCTACGACACAAAACTGTCAAGCGTTTATGCAGGCATTTTGTGAGTCCGAATTTCGAAGAAAAAATACTCATGACTTTTTCAAAGCCAAAAAGCAATGAAAATTGTCGTCAAAGTAAACATCATCGCACATCACACATCTCTATCGCGCTCTCCCTCTCTCACTCATTCCCTATGTTGCTGTGTGCAACGGCAGCATGTGGAAAATGTGTAAATATTTCAACAGATTTTACCAATACTCTCAGGGCGGTCTAAAGGGAGGTGCAGCCCCAGTCCATTACATCAACAAGTACGATACGATTTATGCAATAGAATGATAGGAAATGGAACCTTAGGGGAATGCTTGAAATGAAATTAAATGAACTCTAAAGGATTCAAGACAGAATAGGAAGCGATTCTTAGGGTGAAAGTCGTCGAAATGATTGGCAGAATGTGTCACACATTTTTGAATAGATTTATTCCCCTCTTTCGAATGAAATGAATGAACGAAATAGAGAGATATCCGAATCAAAAGAATGTCTGCCCATGGAATACTGATTGAATATTGATTGATTTTCTACCTTTGTATAAACCAAAAAAAAAAACTGCCAAAGAAACTATTGCTAAAAGTTTTTGAGTGCGTCCTTCCATTTACTACCTCGTAACAGATGTACATTATTATTGTCTTTTAAGTCAATGAGGGATTCTAAGTAGTTTATTTTTTAGGTGGATGAATCGTTAATCACTTGATGTGTCGATGCCTCCGCCCCGTTCTATAAAATATTTTGTGGCAAGAAAAGGGTCTCGGGTCGACCCGCATCTCTTTGCGGGCGACCCTTACCAATAGTGCAATCAAGCCTTAATTCGATCCAATTCATTTTTTCTTTCTTGTTTGGGCAAATTCATTAACCAATTTATGTGGCACGGCACCCATTTGCCATTCCCCTATTTCCCCATTCCCCCATTCCCATTCCCCGTTTGCCATTCCCGTTTCCCAATTCGATATTCGATTCCCCATTTCACCCACGCGCTTTCTCCGAGGCGTTTGCGTTCCGTTTGCTGTTTTCTGGTTGGTTTTTTTTTCATTGAAAATTTGTATGCATTTTGGTTTTTGCTAACGAGTATTTTATTTATATTTTTAATTTTTTATTTTTTTGTACAGGCGATTATATGTTTATATTATTTACTTGGTTTCGAGAGAACCGCGTTAGGGCGGGGCGGACCGGACCGGACGGACCGGGCTTAGTCCGGCCACGGGAATTAGGAATAGGAGGAACGGCAGTGGCGGCAACGGGCGGAGCGAAGCTCTGGCCAAAAGCCAAAAGCCAGTAACCGGTTTGCCATTTGTCAACTTTGTCGTCGACAGACAGACAGCAGACAGCAAGACAGTCAGTCGAAAATGCGATACCGAGTAGCCGTAAAAAGCGCTTCACAAATAACAATTCTCTTCTTGATTTTTTTCTTTTAGCAGAAGAGAGACACAGCAGGCAGGCAATAAAGCAGCAAATACGAATTGGAAAATACCCTGCCTAACCTATGGAATAAAGTAGGGATATTCCTGCTCATAGCAATAAATCCCATGCAATACCATACAAAGTTTTCGGAAACTAAACTACAATATTTGATTTCCATTCGCTCGCCCAAAGATTATACATAATTCTTAGAATGAAGTTATACTGGAATTAAAATAAGATGAAAGAATTTGTTGGACTTGCAGTGGAATTTATGTAAGAAGTGTTATTCCAAGAGATATGTATGATTCCCTTTCGTGGCTGCGTGCAGTGAATAATCTGAAGAATATATACTCCGATTTTAGCTGGAACATCCAAGCGCTCTTGAATACTTTAGAAACATTTTACAAATGAACTGAATAACTTTTTTCGACATGGCCACCCTTTCCATTCATTCCAAAAAGGATCAATCAGACGCAGCAACAGCCTTGGCCCCTAAAAACACCTAGTCCATTCCGATACGTTCCTGCTTGGAATAGCACGCACAATTTGTATGTATTTTCCTGTTCCACCGTTCCATTGCCTTGGGCCGCCGTACGTATCCCCAGCTCCCATTCATTCTATGTTTTTTCTGCCCCCTCTCCTCTCCCTAGCTGTCTCTTTCTCTGTTCCCCAAATGTTTTGCGTATAACCTTTTGCCTTAACCTCTCTTTGCCCGCCCTGCTCCACCCTCCCTCCCTCCATCGCTCTTCTTCTCTATCACATTCACTATCTCTATCTTTGTCTCTCTTCTTCGCCATCTCTTTCGCTCCCTGTCTCTGGCGGTGGAACATTGTGTTTGTTGTTTGTTTAACTTTTTTTTTATTGTTTAAAATTCATCACGAATTTTATTTTGTTGTGCGTTCTCTTTCTTTATTTGTTGGTTTTTTATACAACTTTTTTTTCCATTTCGTTTGGTTTTTTTGTTGTTGTTCTTTTTGTGCTTTTGTGGCGCTGTCGACGTTGACGTCGCAGTCGCTTCTCCGTCGTCGTCTTCTAACCTTGAAGCACATTAAATATTGTTGTTGTTGGTTTTGTTTTTGGTTTAGTTTTCGGGGTTTTGTTGTTGTTGTTGTTTGTTTCTGTTTCTTGTTGTATTCTGATTCTGTTTGGTATTGTTGTTGTTGTTCCGGGCAGTGGGCCGAAGCATTTAATACTCTTCTTTCGCTCAGATACATAGAATTCCAAAAGATACAAAATTTACAAGATACTTTCTTCTATTTCGCACTCGCACCTGAGATGTCAGTTAATCGCTTTTTAAGTACGGTTCCTGAAGGCCTGAAGCCAGACTGCTTGCAGTGTTCCTTTCATGCCAGTCCAATTGATTTTCAAAACGATCCCATTGACTAAATCCTATATCCATAAAGAGTCCTCTAAGGTACGAATATCGTTGATTCTCTGTCGAAATTTCCCATTAACGAAGAGTAAAATTCAGATTCCGATTGCAGCTGATGGTGGGAGCGATCACTTGTGCTGCAAAAACTGCTCAAACGATCCGCTCTGTAAGGAAAGAGTATCAGAAGAATCAGTAACATCAAAAAAAAAAGTGTGTGTAATACTAAAAAGTGTAGAAACAAATAGTACAGCCAATACATACATACATACATGTGTAAGTATATATGTATATTCCATAGAAAAAAAGAGACGAACTAAATAAATAAATAAAAAAAAAAATAGTTTTATGTGGGGTCGGGTTTTCGCGTCTTTTCCTCTGCCCTCTGCTCCAGCTGCTGCTTTTTCCTCATTTCCTCTTCTTCGTTTTAGTTCTTTATTTTTCGGTTTAATTGTCGAATTTTCGTTTCGTTTCGTACTGAATTACCCCTCACTTGTGGAAGAGTTCAAGAGGAAGGTATATTGGATGGATGAGCGGATCAAACAGGATAGAAAAATTATATATGTAAGTAAGTTCGATGAAAAGATTTACAGATTTAAAGACAGTCCGGAAATCATGGTACGGCGGGACGGCATTTATTGCCGCATTTAAGGGTTCTTTGAG